ACGCAACCATAAAGCCTCCTTAATAGCTTCAGTAACTGCCATATACTCTGCCTCTGTAGTAGAGAGAGCAACTGTGGACTGAAGCGTGCAACGCCAACATACAGGTGCACCTGCCAATGTAAAAGCATAACCTAACGTAGACCGGCGTTTGTCAAGATCTCCAGCATAATCTGAATCCACATAACCAATACAAGCCTGCCCGTCCTTCTCATCCTTCTGAAACACTAAACCAACATTCACGGTGCCTCGAACATACCGTAGAATCCACTTCACGGCCTCCCAGTGACCCTTCCCGGGGTCATGCATGTATCTCGATACCATGCTCACGGCCTGTGACAAATCTGGCCTCGTACACACCATCGCATACATCAAGCTACCTACTGCACTAGCATATGGGACCTTCGACATATAATCTCTGTCCTCAACTGAAACAGGTGACATCAACGCTGAAAGCTTGAAGTGGGGAGCCAATGGTGTGCTAACTGCTTTTGCATTGCCATCAAAGCTGAATTTCTTCAACATCTTCTGCAAGTAGCTCTTCTGTGTAAGCTTCAATTTCCCCTTCACCCTGTCTCGCTCGATCTCCATACCCAATATCTTCTTTGCCTCTCCAAGATCCTTCATCTCAAACTCGGATGATAACTCCTCTTTCAGCTTTCGAATAGCTGAAGAATTCCTGGAAGCAATAAGCATATCATCAACATATAAAAGCAAATATATGAGCTCACCATCCTGTAGCTTGTGCATATAAACACATGGGTCATATGGGCTCCTCGTGTACCCTCGGCCAATCATAAAGCCGTCGAATCTCTTATACCACTGTCTTGGTGACTGCTTCAAACCATAAAGAGACTTCTTCAGCTTACAAACCAAATTTTCCTTTCCTGCAGCTTTGAAACCCTGTGGTTGTGTCATGTAGATCTCCTCATCTAAATCACCGTGTAGAAAGGCTGTCTTCACATCCATCTGGACCAAATCCAAATCCAACTGTGCCACCAACGCCAATAAAATCCGAATCGACGAATGCTTCACAACGGGTGAAAATACCTCGTTGTAATCAATGCCCTCAAGCTGTGCATATCCCTTGGCAACTAATCTGGCTTTGAACCGAATGTCCCCAATAGAAGATCCCTCCTTCTTCGCATATACCCACTTGCAACCAATAGCTTTCTTACCCTTAGGTAGATGTGCAAGTGTCCAAGTGTCGTTCTTCTGAAGAGACCGCATCTCCTCCTCCATAGCTTCCCTCCACCTGATCGAATCGGGGCTAGACTCTGCCTCCCTGAATGTGGCTGGAACCATATCATCAACGACCTCCACTGATAATGCATATGCGACCATGACATCATTATACCTAGCTGGCCGACGAATCTCTCTCCTCGGTCTATCTGCTGCAATGGTCCTCTGAACATGACCCTGTTCCTGAGTCCCATGATCTACTGTATCCTGTATCT